TCATTGTGTCTGCCTGTCAACTCTTCTGTTGGCTGTTCATAGTTCCCAAAGTCCATTTGCCCATGCTGCCTGTCCACCTGAATTCTTTGTCAAATTTATGGATCTTAACATGGAGACATCTGGCAAAAGCATATAAACATAATATGACTTTTGGCTGTTCTGTATGTTTAGGATGGCATGTTTCTTGAAGATCTTATTAATTTTAGGTTTGTCTTCTTAAGATCCAAGGCAATGGTAAGAAGGTAAAATTGTCATACCCCCTCTGATTGAGTATTTTGACTCGAGAAGAGAGCTTACAAATTGAACTGATACACAATTTTATTTTTTGATTGACTAATTGTTCCCTTTTATGTCCCCAACGTGGTGGATCATACTTAAAAATCAAAGTAAAAAAAATTTAAAGAGAAATAGGTGAAGGAATATTAAACGAAAGTTGCCTGCAGGTAAAATTGGACCTGTGTAATTTGAGTGGAATAGATTTAAATCAACATGGAGGAACAGCATCAAGAAGACAATGTACACCAAGTGACTGGAGGAAAACCATCTCACAGAAGCAGTGAAGAGAAATAATCATGTAAAGAGGCAAGAAATGAGGATGAAGAGAAAATATGGTGAAGGTGTTTTATTTCAGATTTCTTGCAGGTAGTGACATCTGTGTGTCCAGCCAATGGTCGAGTCATTGCAAAGGTACGCACTGGGAATATCTCGGACTACAATCGCTGTGTAGAGGCAGCTCAGCTTGCCTGGCATTCATGGGTTGGCCTTCCAGCACCAAGAAGAGGAGAGATTGTGAGACAAATTGGAGAAGCCTTAAGATCCAAACTCAGACCCCTGGGAAAGTTGGTCTCACTGGAAGTGGGTAAGCTACAAGTATGCATGTACCTGTTGCAGACTATTGCTCTTCTGAAGCTCCAGTGGGTGGATGGTAGATATTTCTTGAACGTATGCAGGCACAAGCATTGCAGTGCCTGAACTAGAAAGCCAAGGAAAGGAAGATGTACATGAGATTATAGTGTTTTTACTATCCAATGATCCACATGTACAAACAAAACAGTGTTTTATGTCCAAATCTCATCATATTCTCCAGCTGGTTTAACCAAAATAGTGTACAATTTTAAATAATACATATATGTGGACATTATTTTGCTGAATGGCTGTAAAGTATAAATAATGTATAAATATTTGCCTTTTACTTACCAAATCTTCTTTGATGTCAGGTCTTATTAAATTACCAAAGTACTTAAATTCACTATATGTAATGACTGACCAATGAGCACCATCCATCAGGCAATGCCATAAAATACTTAACAGCAGTTACATATATTCTGGAGGTCATCCTTTGAAATACAAAACATATCTGGCACATCTTAATAGAAATAAACACCCAGTTCAAGATTGATGGAAACATTACTTTAGTAAGTTACTGAACATTCATGCAACCGATTAAATTAAAGAGCCTGAAGTACGTACAGCAGAGCCCTTCATCCCAGAACAGAGCCTTAATGAATTTGAAGTTGCCATTGGAAATTAAAACATTATAAATCTCCAGGTGCCAACTCAAATTCCAGAGGAACTAATCCAAGCAGGTGGTAAGACCCTGCACTCAGAGATATTAATACATAAGCTTAAAGTCTCAGTTTGGAACTAGTGTTGGACCTCTAGGTGCTGCTGCCAGGGAGTTGGTTATGTGCCTATTTAAAGAACTCAGCGAGGTTACAGACTATCCTGAAGTTTTCCATTATCTTCCTCAGTCTGTCCAGGTAAATGCTGATGTATCTTTAGATAAACCATGATTGCCTCCTTCCAACTCATTATTTAACCATGATTCTATTATCTCATTTTATATTTTGTATCATACACAGTTGAAACAGCACCTCATTTTGTATTCTCAGTAGCTTCTTGAGTTCATTAGGGATCAGCTGTATGTTAAGTAACCAAAGTATCATTTAATGACTGATAAAAGTGACTTTGAAAATCAGTGAAATCAAGACATTGTGGTATGTATGTTATTCACACATCTAAATTTGATTATATTTATGACAGTGTTTGTTACTGTTCATCTTCAGGTAAGATTTATGCAGAAGGTGTTGGGGAAGTGCAGGAGTATGTGGATGTGTGCGACTTTGCCTGTGGGCTCTCCCGCACTTTGCAAGGTCAGATATTGCCTTCAGAACGGCCTGGGCACGTCCTTCTGGAGAACTGGAATCCACTTGGTGTTGTTGGCATCATCTCTGCATTCAACTTTCCTATTGCTGTTTATGGCTGGAACAGTGCTGTTGCTATGGTTTGTGGCAACACTGTGGTCTGGAAAGGTGCACCCTCAACTCAGTTGGTATCAGTAGCGACTACAAAAGTTGTGGCTGGAGTGCTGGAGGCTAATGGAGTTCCTGGCGCAGTGTGTACACTCTGTTCTGGTGGCAGTGCCATTGGAGAGGCCATGGCTCGTGACACTAGACTGCCTCTCCTTTCCTTCACTGGGAGTACTCAGACTGGACACCAGGTTCGTCTGTCCTAATATTATCTATCATATTAGCCTATTTCATCACATATTTTCCAAAATTTCATGATCAGAGCTTGGGTACATCATAAAAATATTCTGTAATTGAAAATGTATGTCTGCTTGACATATTCATGAAAGTGAAAAGTTTTCTATTAAAAACTGTGTATCTTAAATTAGGTAGTTCATAAAAAAACTGTAAATCATAAGAAAACTAAAATCCTGTTTTCTTCCAGCTGTAATTCCATCACTGATGGCTTTAGTGGTTTGCTTCAGGTTGGTTTGTTGGTTCAAGAAAGGTTTGGGCGCCACCTGCTTGAGCTTGGAGGAAACAATGCTCTGATTGTGAACTGTGATGCTGATCTGGACCTGGTGGTCAGAGCTGCTGTTTTTGCGTGTGTGGGAACGGCTGGTCAGCGCTGCACCACCACTAGACGGCTCATTCTACATGCTGAGGTAATAACATGTGGTAAATTAATGCATCTTGTTGAGGTTCTGCTTATTACTTTCATACAACTGTAAAGGAGAGACGTCACTGAAGGACCATCTTTCGATTGTTTTTAATTAACACGTAGAAGAAAAAGAGAAGACTCTTTTATTTAATGGATGACTTTAAGTTTGATGGAGAGTACTGCAGTTAATTGAATATATAAAGTTGGCCAATTAATTTCATGAGCTACAGCAGTTGAGTGAATACAGTGGCTAGGATTGGAATGTATTGAGCTTTACCGCCATGCCCTCCATAAACTTTACAGAAATGGTGCTTAGGCATAGGGGCATATTTATCATTAATAATTAATTTCAATGAACAATTCTCTACCATATCAGATGTTATATTTATTTCTACTGATGCGTCACAGGTAACAACAGAACTGATGTATTGATTCATCCTTTTTTATAGATTTATGATCGAGTGTTAACACGTCTTAAAGCAGCTTATGGGCAGGTGCTGTCTCGTGTAGGTGACCCTCTAGATGAAGGGACCCTCATTGGCCCTCTGCATAATGATGCTGCTGTCAAGTGCTATCAAGACACGTTAACTGAGGCAGTGAAGGGTGGAGGAACAATTGAATGTGGAGGGAAAGTAAGCTATTGATTTATATATTAAGACCACATTTAACATTTTGTGCTCTTTGCATTTAGTGCTGATATCACTTGTTAGAAGTGATTTTCCTTCTTCCCTCTACGTTACAGTAACTTGTGGGAATTGTTCAGACAGACTGGTGATATGAAGTGTGCCATTATTTTTTGTGATGAAGTTACACGAGCTGCAACATTACAAGTTACAGAAGCGCTGGTCAAGTGTTTATCACTTGTTCTGAGGCAGTGCAGCTCAGCCCCCTCCGTCACACCCTATTTCCTTTAGATCCACTTTGTTTATTATCATCATCTTCCCATCTACAGCTAGATGTCTCATTGCCTCTTCTCTTAAGACTTATCTGCTAAAGTTTTGTTTTTATTTCATCAATCAGCATAACCTAAGCTGTGTGAAAATGTAGATCCTCTAATTCTGATGAAATCAAACCAGAGACTGGAGATTAATCTGAGATTTCAGATACTGTGGTGCAAGAGTTGACAACCTAAACTCTGCCTGACCACGTTGTCTTCATTCTGCAGGTGATCGAGGCACCTGGCTACTTTGTCGAGCCAGCCATTGTGACAGGGTTGCCTCACGATGCAAGTGTTGTACAGAAAGAGACATTTGCTCCAATTGTGTATGTGCTGAAGGCAGAGAGTTTGGATCAGGCCATCATATGGAACAATGAGGTTTGCCAGGGTCTCTCATCCAGCCTCTTTACTGCTAGTTTGGATGCCATATTCAAGGTGAGACGACTTTGTTGAAGTACACTCAAGATTGTAATACGCTATAAATTTCCTTCGTAGTTCAAATATAAGCAGAGGTTTACTTCCATAGCTGTCACAGCAGCTAACATAACCAGACCAACCAGACACACCTTGCACTTGTAGGACTGCTGCTCTTAAACTTATTACAAAAATGTTGACATTTTTGTATACTGATTGAAATGAAAAATGTGAATTTAATATTTTTGAAAAGTATGTACAATGTGTGCTAATGCATTTGTATGTTGTGTGGGCACACATATTTGTGAATCAATTATGTCTTTGATTGCTTCTAGCAGTCATATAAATATACATCTGCCATTATGGTAGATGCCACCAGTGGTCACTTTCCTACCCCCATTTCATTTGATAGTTGAAGAGTTTATTCAGTTTCTGATAGAGCTGAAGACTCCAAAGGGAAGTGGATCCAAACATTTACATATTATCGTGGTGACCAGCAATGTGTGAGTGATGGGGTTAACACAGCAGTCTGTCTACCAGTTGAGTTTTTCACATGAACTACAACACAGATTGTTCACTGACAGAGTTAAGCTGATATATTTTCACTCCTCATTTGCATTTGCGACCAATCATGTTCAACAAATTGCCCTTAATTTTCACTTTTCAATTGGTTTTACTCTATGCATGTGTTATCTTGCACTACTAAATTAGTGTTTGTTATTCTCTGCATCTGATTATATGGTGAATGGAATTTCCATTGTTTTACTGCCAAATCTCTCGTCTTATATCTTTACTAAGTTTCTGAAGTACTCAAATTCACCTTGATATGCAATTATGTTTCAGTTGTTTCTGTAGCTGACCAATAAGCACCATCCATGATGCAGTTCCCTAGCAATTCCATGCATCCCTTTTATATTTAAAACATTTATCACACTCTGTACAATTAAGGAAATTAATTTTAAACAGAGTAGTGACTGAGCATGATTGTATAGTAGCAGCACTGTACACTAACTTATGTCAGAATGTACCCATTTTGAAACTCAACTAGGTTACAGACTATCCTGAGGTCTCATTGTTTTCCTTCGTCATCCTGATACATGTTATGACTGCCTCCTTCCAACTCACTTGCCCTTAGTGATCATCTTATCATGCCATTTGGTACTGTGTGTGTTGTACACTTGAAACAGCATCATTGTATGAATCACCAGCTAGTGGGCACTGCTTCGAGCACATTGTTTATTTCAGTGGATTGGACCAAAGGGCTCAGACTGTGGTATTGTGAATGTGAACATACCCACCAGTGGAGCAGAAATTGGAGGGGCATTTGGTGGGGAGAAGCACACAGGAGGTGGACGTGAGTCTGGGAGCGATTCGTGGAAACAGTACATGAGACGTTCCACTGTTACTATCAACTATGGCAAGGGACTGCCTCTGGCACAAGGAATTCGGTTTGAATAACGACCTCCAGTAATGAACTTTATCTGATATTGCTTTGGTTTCATAATTATATTCCAATTTGACTGGTGCAATTTCTCACCTGGTTGGCAAAAATATCACAGCGCACAGCTGACTTATTTCTTAGCTTTCTGTATTTTGCTCGTCAGTGCCAGATACCGGCTGTTCACTATGGCTGCAAATTTTCTTGCAGGAAATTTTCTAAAAATGGCTGATACGTCAGTAGTGGTTTACTATATTTATAAATTGTTCAATAAATGTTATGGAAATGAATTGTATAAGAAATGTTTCTTCTTAAATTTAACCTTTCAAAATGGGGGTGCATTACATTTGGATGAATGTATTACAATGTTGAACTAAGAGACAATTTGTCATATATAATCATTAACTGGGAAAAATCCTCTGATTTTGTCAGACGAATTGTAAAGAGCACAAAAATGAATGTCAAAATTATGTTTATATTAACATTTACTACAGATACATCACAGTACCTACTGTGTCTTATTTCAGTTACAATCCAATATTTTTAACCACTGAAACATCAACTGGAAATTTATTAGTAATTGTACAAAAATAATATAAATTTCAAGTTACATATTTTTATGTGGTGTGTATGCACACAAGAGAGTGAGTTTTTAGATATATATATATATTTATAAAATTGTTGTCATATTCAGAACAAATTACTACTCAAAAACTAATCTAACCTGAATTCAGCAGTATGTGCAGTTCTCACCATTTCCATTTGAATAGAACAGGTTCAAACTTAAAAACATCAGGATGTCCAAGATGAGGAAGATTCTTATAATCTGATGTACTCCACTGGAAGGGAGGGAGGTAATTGTTATATGGAGGACCAGCAATGGCTATAAATTGAAGTTTAGTCACAAGATCTGCTGTTGTCAGTTTCATGTCTGTGGCTGTATGTGATCGATGTCCCAGTGCAGGAAACGGGTATGTACCGTTGATCGGGTTCACATCATTGCGACATGCAATGGCATTCTCGCCACTGTACGGCGGCGTGCAGTTGCACCTTGACAGTGGATCATGTAAATAATCATTGTAGCGCATCAGGGCTATCATGCTTGAGGTATCGTTCACCTTCACATGGTCCCGCCTGAACATAAGAGCACGTGGAGTCCGATCATATGTGAACCTGCAAAATGATACTCCATTTTTCAAATCTGAGTTGAACAGCAAGGTTATGTAACTTCCTGCTGTCAAAACAACTGGCAAAATCCAGTACAAATACACCAACTAATTTTTTCCAAACATTTAATTAACGAATTTTCACATTAATGAATTTTAAAAATTAATACCCCTTTTTGGCATTCGTAATGAATGTTTGATATGACAAAATCACACCATTCCATGCATTAACTTCTACCACTGAATGAATCATTGTCCTAATGTCCTGAGTGATTTCATTTTTCTGTTTAAACTGGATGTTTGTTTTAATTAATACTTTTTTTCTTCCCCCAGATTGAAATGCTTAATTATAACAAATGTGAAGGTAAAATTACCTCTGTACAATGCCTCAGAGTATAATTGGATACCAGTAAGTGATAGGCTTCACACTAGTATCCTTTGTTCTTATGTATACTGAACACTCACCAGTCTCCATACTTAGCTGCAAGTTCTCCCTGTCCACTCATACTGTAAATATCGGGAAAGTAAGGGGTGTTGTAGCTTGGCCAGTAAGATTGTTGCCTTAGGACTTGAGTCTTGTCCTCAGCTCTGATGTATCCTGGCAGCTGCTCAAGGACCCACAGCAGCTTGTCTCTCAATAGGTGCTGAGGTGTTCCTTTCTTGAAGCGCTTGTAGTCCACCACCATCCACTGGTTGTTGTATGTGCCACTGTTATACAGAGTGAACGCTTTGCTCCAACTCATTCCGCAGTGTCCCAGCCTGTTGGCCACCATTGTCCTAACCTGCTCCAGTACCTGTTCAGGCAGTGAGTAACACGCTATGACACATGCTTAATGGTTTCGTCCAACCCCATGTTCTGAGTTTCCTTGAAAAGTTCAGGCTATAGTCATTCAGATGCACAGAGCCAGATAAATCCAATCCACACATACTCTGTATTTTTAAAGATCAGTTTAATTTGTCCCTTCCATGTTTAACAAGTGATTTCTTTTCTTGGGGTTTTTGAGTAAACTCTTTCATATCCATCATCAATGCTGGATTCCCCACTCATCTTACAGTAGCACAAGGAATAAGTTTAAAAAAAGTAAATAAATAAATAAATACAAAACATACAGACAAATACAACTCAGAAAATTATTTCACCTGAAATGAAAATTTTAAATAAAGTACACATTTGGTAAATCAGTACCCTGATATACATTAGATAAGTTACACAAAATATAGACAGAAAAAAACTTATGAAAGATTATGATTCATCTTTAACCACTGGGAATTCATCAACAGAGTAAAAGGAGCATGTATTTTCAAATATATTTTAATGCTACTTCAAATTGTGCCTTTTTATTCATAAGACTTCTGATACTAGATGATAGACTGCTGAATATCTTTATGCTAGAATAGTATGCATTTCATTTTAAATCATGAAAGGTTGGTAGTTGATCTGTGGAGATGATGTTAGAATGCACAGTGAAGTTCATAGTGAACTTTCCCAATAAATGTCAAATGGTTTTCATTGATCAGATTGCATATTTTTAACATATCGTAGTTTCCGAGTGCCTTTAATCCAGTGGCTGCTTTTACCTTATTATTTATCCCATGACCCCTATAAATATGAAGAACAGTCTGAATGTAAGAAATGCTTCCTTGGACGAACAATAAGAATAAGACAGAGTATAAATAAAAATTGCAGACTAGAAAAGGCTTCCTACCTGCCCTTCAGCCTTTACATATTGCCAGAGAGAGTGGTTACTGTTTCCTGTTGTTGTCTCAAGTGTCACAAGTCCTGCAGATGTTACATAAAAGTCATCACCTGACTGGATTGTCCCTGGATATGATGAGAATGTGATGACATGGCCTGGGACAGTGCTATTTGACTGAGGCAGTACTTTGTATGGGAAGATATACCTCTTCTGGACTCGGAGCATAGACTGGAAACTAAAGGCATTTTTATTTATGTCTTCGGGCTTCCACGGCAGTTTGTAGGTAATCTAGTTTACAATCTTTGCTGATGTTTCAAAGAACCTGCAGGTCTCAATCTTCAAGGATTCAAAGCAAAGTGGGCCAATATACACTACAACTAAGAGGTTACCAGCTTAGTTGAAATATTGAAGATACCTAAATTCTGATATGCTTGCCTATTTGTCACATATACATCCATCAGGTAGTTGAATTATAAGCACTGAGACTACAAATACTGGCTTCAGGCCAGATAAAGACACCAGGTTCTCTGAAATATCAGCAAATCAACAACCACAACTGTACCTGGACCATGTGTCATGTGAAGTAAACAGATCAGAAGAGTCAGGCAGGAGTTTGATAAGGGCCGAGCAGGAAGTCGAGCCAGGCAAATGAGCTCCTCTCACTGAAGTTGGTTCATCACTACCTGTTTCTAAAGCGGAGAACAGGTCTTCGAGATCCCCTTGAACATTCAGCCATCTGCAGACAGGTATAGCAGTATTGTCAGGTCTTCATAGAAAGAGGCAAAAGATCATTTGAATAGAGTGGAGTTACACAGACGGCCACCAATGTGCGGCTGTGGCCTGTACATTATTATTATTAAGTGTTCTGTCTTACGACAGGTCCATTGCTCTGCCCAAAAAGAGCTCTCCAGTTGTCCCTATGCCTGTACATACAGCAGATTAATTTCAGTGTGGTTAGACTTCTAGATGGAGCTCCAGGACAGCATCTCTGTGACTGTCAGTGTACAGACTGAATAAAACCACAGAAGCAGCAGGCTTTCCCAAAGCACCGTGTTTCTAGAGAAACCAAATGTCCCTATCCTTTGCGATACAGAGATCTCGCACCGTCAGATGCATAACAAATGGGGACTTCTAACAGTGTTTTTGTGACATGATGACGTGACGTTTGAGACCTATAGGTTAACAATGAACACGTACTGCAGAGCACATCACACTACAGGCTCTACTCAAATGATGTTTAAAAACCACGAGCAGTGACTCGGTATGTGCTGCAGCACGCTCTGTAAGACAATGTGCGATGATGCTGGTTTTCTGGACTTCATCCATCACTTGATATGCTAAAAGAAGACCCTATACGTTTCTGGAGCTGGCTTTGCTCCCATCTTCAGGTGAAAATCCTATTCTGGTGGGTCTGGTGGAACGGACTAATCCAAAGCCAGCTCCCAAAAGCGTCTGCTTTTAAAATATAAAATAATGGGAAAAGTTCAGAAAATCAGCAATATTCAACACTGATACACCGTTATTATAACCCTTTAAATCTTTTAAGAGTAATTTTAGAGCAGAGAAATGATTTATTTACATAGTAAAGTAGTTGTGCTGCTTTAAATTTCAGACTACTCTATACTGGGCTATATTCCAGTTACAGTAATCGTCTTCTAATTTATAACTTCAATTAAGATTGCAGCTCAATATGACAAATACCGAAAACACTATGACTTCATTCTGATTTCAACTTCCACCTCATATGGCAATACACTACTTACAGGAGATCGCTGAAAGTCAAATTTTTCGAAGCTTCACGATCTAGTTCCCTTGCAATTCTGTAACCATATTCAAGTCCTTTCAGCTGCTCGTAGAATAGATTCACCTACACAAAAGTAACATGAAATAAAGATCACAGGAAAGTGATGTTACGTATGGGGGAGGGGGGGGGGGGCTGGTTTATTCTAGGACCTCAAAGATTTGAGTGGTAGTCACATCTTGTGTTAAAGTATGCAAGACCAGCATCATGTTATGTGGAACACACATTCTCACAATACAAATCTCTTCCGTGATAAGAGACGAGTATTTACAATTTGCAAAACTGTTGTGATTCACTGCAACGGTGCTTCACTTTCTGTTTGAGATACTTATGACTTTTGGTGAGTACTCTGTGTAATTATGGGTACTTTTTTTATTTTGTCCTTTTTAAGGCATACTGAAAAATAAAAGTTTTCTAAATTTTTTGCACCTAAAAATCCATTTCCTACTGATAATGAAATTCACTACATAAAGTTGTTTCTTTATTATTTATTTTACAGAACTGTATAGCTAGAAGAGCATAAATGGAGTCACAACTCAAAAGACCACAATCTACATTTTCACCACCGAGGAAGCCGCATAAACTATTGGGATTGTGATTACAGTAAGTGAGAAATATGCAGATGCAAATCTTCAAACAAGCACATTCATTAAAAAGAAATGTGTCCATATTTTTAACACCAGTCTGACCTGATGCCAGTATGGCTCCGTGTTGCTCTGATTGGTAATCATGTCATTGACCCAAATGAGATTTCTGTCCAAGTGATCCTGAACCTTCCGGCAGAGTTCCCGTCTGACGCCGCAGAAGTCGTGCAACGTGTTATACCAATGCTTGTACATGACATCATATGTGAGAAATGACTCCACATAACCTGCACCAAAGGCTTGTAACATGTCACTGTTCTGAGGATTTGTTTCCACCTGCAGGTAACTCCATCTACAACAAAATATATACATTCTCTGTAAACAGTAAATTTTATGTTATTTCAGAGCACTTCCTGTAAAGAGATTTGATGCCTAACATGAAACACAAGACCTCATTAAGGTCTATGATGTATCTGTAAGTATTGTGCAATATACTGAGTACGTATCCGAGTACATGAAGAGAAAATGTCTGACCGCACAGTTTACATTTTAAAAGGGAAGTGGGGAAGCAGAATAGCAACAAGTTAGGAAATGTATGTACACCTAAACAATTCTGGTGTGTTTGCACTTACTGCCTCTCGCCTGTTCGCTCTGCTGTGCAGGAAATTCCTTGAAAAGTCGATCGTATACTTGGCTTGTCAAAGAACAGCCCACTTTCTTTATGGAACCCAAAGGTTCATCACCGTGTTCACAAAAGCCCATACTGTTCTATCCTGAGCTAGCTATATCCAGTTTGCTCCATCAATTCCTGTCTCCCTAAGGTCCATCTTAATGTTATCCTCCCACCTTTGCCTAGGTCTTCCCAGTGGTCTCCTCCCTTCAGGCCTCCCAACCACCTCGTCCTCCTCGATTTAATCGCCCTAAGAAAATCAGGTGAGGAGTACAGGCCGTGTTAAGCTCATTATGCAGTTTTCTCTATGATCTGTCTTCCTCCCTCAAAGTGAGAGACCATGTTTTGCACCCATACAGCACAAAGGGCAAAATTACACTTTTGTATATTTTAATCTTTAGTTTTTTTTATATGAGACTGAATGTTAGAAAGTATTTCCTGAATTTAATGTGCTCTTGATTTCATCATGAATGTCATTCTGACTTATTAGTGTCATCACATTTTCGAATAGTTCATTAGTTACCTTCCTTATATTCTAGTCCTGTCTTGAACTTAGTGGCTGACCTCGTGGACCGGCTGCCGAGAGAAAGGTACGCAATGGACGCCTGGCAGACACTCTGGGATTCCAGGAAGTGACCACGTCTGACTGTACTGCCGGACCTGGACTAGGTCCGCCTAGAGTGGCGATTACCCGGATCATTGGGCTTGGTCTACCGAATCTAGCGACAGGTCACGTCACCTGTGGTCTTCAACTCCATCCCTCGCGTCGCTGTGTCCGGCAGGTAAAGTGCGCGCGTTCCTGTCTGCTGCACATGTTAATGCATGTCCCACTGAGAACATGGTGCACCGTCCGGCAGCCGGACCGGTAGATTTGCCGTGATGGCTCGCGGGCAAACTCTCGTATGAAACAATGTATCACTACCGACCCGGAAAATCTATCGGAACGGCGGACGGCGAAAATTCTTATCGTGGACAAGGGCCGTAGCTTCCAGTAGGTTTTATGGTTCTCTTAGTTGTGGGCGGTAAGCGTGTGAGGAAACAGTTGGTTGTCCTGTGGAAGCGAATCTCGTGCGGACGTGCCGACCGACCGGGGCAAACAGACCGGAAGAACGATTATGACGTTCTAACCGCAATTTTCTCTAAGACCCCTGCTTCTTCACATTCAAATGTTTCCATTGAGATTTGAGCTCAATAGACATTTATAGTGTTGAACGTAATAGGCACGAAAACAATGACGAGTTGTGAGTACACCAACCACTGGCAGTTCTGTTTTTTGAAATAAAAGTAACGAAGCTTTTTCATCTTTCTGGTACTCTTCATCACTAATTTCTGGGGAAACAGGCCCCTTTAAGCACAGGGCTTTTGCAGTTTCCCTGCACTAGCATACGAATTCATCGTCGGAAGAATCATACTTTATCTCCAATTTCATTTTCACCTGAATATGCTGAGTTCTTGCCCCAAAGCTTATCATCGCCTCACTAAAACAGATGATGTTGGTCTAACCTAACCTGTGTTCTACCGTAATTAGTTTCCGAGCTACAGAAACAATCTTCAAAGGCGATCGAACGCAGTTTTAATTCAACCTTCCCGAAAAAATCTTCCTGCTCTCGAGTAACGAGCATGAAAAGTAGTGGGGGGATTAAGAAGAAGCTATAAAAAAATGATGATGCTTGTTGCCTGCCTCGTTGTTCCGAATATTTTGTCTTCCTGTCTACACCCCACAAATCTAATTATTTAACTATGCAGAACTAATGTTACCTGCTGTTTTGAATGAGCGTTAAACTTGATCGTGTTGGGGAGGGGGGGGACAAAGAATGTAGATTGTATTGAGTACCGGTGACGGGCTCCTATGAACGCGGTAATGGACTTCCATATTTTATAAAAGACGAGGAACTTCTTGGCCAACTGAGCACAGTGGTACTAGTTTATCTAGAAAGACATTGCATCTGTGAATAAAAGCATGTCTGTGTGTTCCTTTACGAAATAAGCCACATCATTTTCTTGGTGGTATAAATTCTAAGGAAATAATTCCTTGCGACGAAAAACAAAGGAAGGCTGCACACAACACAGCATTGAGTGTTTGTGGCCTCGGGATTCTGTGATCGCGGTCCCACCGCTGATGTGTCATTGATTCGCGTTATCTTCTTAACCTCCCCTCTAGGGACAAATCCCAAGGGTCACGAAGGGCAACCCCTGGTCGGGCGTACTGCGTAGTAGAATCCAGAACGCGACGCGAGCAGTCACAAAAAATATAATCATTCCTGCATACACGCACGCACGCGCACACACAGAAATCAGTATCTCTGATGAAGTTGCAAAAAGAAGGTATAAAACTATCATTTAAAGCAAGGCGTCTAGATTTGCGAATGGATTAATGTTTGTTCGGACGAACTGATCTGTTATAAACCTTCTCCAATTTCACATTTCTTTTCACGCCACTTACAAAACCCTAACAATCGAAAATGAGTTCTGCCACTTACCCGGTGCCATTATTGAGTGGTGCATAATAACCTTTCGCGAGCCAGTGCGAGTCACCCGTTTTCTTCAAACTGACTTTTGTGCCATTTTCATCCTGTGTGACGTACACTGTCTTCTTTCTTACACCGGGAGCACACTGCACTTGCAAAAACGTTATACAAACAACTGTTGTGATTACACCACATGTCTGAAGCAGCATCGTGCATCCAATCGCGCCAATGGACTACACAACACTGATAACCGAACTTCGGACATGCCATTCCTGTGACTACACCAGTACAGTGCGGAGATGCTTTCAGCCTCGTGACATTTGTCTAGCTGCTTTGATGGAAGTCTCTGGAAAACAAAACATCTGCGACTCTACGAGTTATCCAGATATCTGCAGAACTTTAACAGCACTTCTACATGAATTCTCCAGCACTTCTCCATGACCAACAAAATCCCGCATTACCTATCTAGGACTTCTCCTACAATAATTTACGACTTATCCAGGATTTCTCCATAACTTCTCCAACATTTCTCCAGGATTTCTGCAGCACTTTACTATAACCAAAGATATTCCGCATAACCTATCCAGGACTTTTCTGATTCTACTCTACGACTTATTCTAAATTTCTCGAAGACTTTTGTCAAAGCGTGACCTAGCGTGTCAAAACGTGACTAGGTGTGACGTACCGTAACCGCGTGACAAATTGTGGCCATAAGTGTCAAAACGTCAGAAAGATTTCAAAAATTTTACCTAACATTACAAAATCTACTAAACAAACTTAACCTAATCTGTGTCAGATTTGAGGTTTTCACAGCAGTGTGTATGAAGATTTCTGTCTTCTGGGTTGTTGCGCCGTGTAGTCTGGTCGATGTTAACCAACCTTTCTAACCTAACCTCGCATAACATCATTTAACGTATTGCAGTTGCCAAAATTAACCGAGCGTTACGTATACTGCGTTCCAGCGTTTTTGGCCGCTGATCTTTTGTGAATTGGAACATCGGAGCGAGTCAATTGCCAGAAGTTTGTTGGAATGGATGGCAGCAGGCCGCGCACAGTACACTCCAAATAAAATATCGCCACGTTACGTAACACAGGAAAGTCGATTTGACTACATTACACATCACTAGAAACTTAATACTGCAGAGTGTGTTAGGTAATTTTATCTTCTTCACAACTATTCGGTCCTCTTCCAATTCCTCCACTCCTCAGATCATCGCTTTCTGACATATCACTCGATTCATCAGTACCGTTGCTGTTCACTCTATTATCTTCAACTATAATACGTTCAATAGCGTCTTCGATTATGCCTTCTTGCTCGTAATAAATTTGTTCTGGTTTATCCACATGCTGACATACATTATCCCATTCCTCTTGCCCAATTTCTTCGAATCTCTGGCGACGCATATGCTGGACGTTCTTAATTTTAAATGTTGTGTTCTTGCTTGCAACCCATTGTTTAACATCTGCCCAAATACGTTCATTGGGGTTTAAATCGGGATAGTACAGCGGAAGTCTCAGCACAGGACGTTCTTTGTCTGCTAAAATCTGTTCAATCACATAATAATTGTGCTCTGACTTATTTAATTTGATTAAATCGTACAATTGAGCTTTCAACACGTCACAAAATGGGATGTTTATTTCCAATAGCCTGGCTTTCATTTCGTCCTTCTTTGATTAAGACGTCGGAGATTTGTCTGTCTGAGTGTTGTGATACGAGGCGATGTCAATGACCAGAAAGGAGATTGCAACGAACAGGTGGCGTGTTGTTAACACAGCACAATCACAGGATAACAATTATCAGGCTTCTGTACTGACACAGAATGTACTGAATGACGGAAACTTTTTCCTTCCTTCTTTGAGTGGTCCGCATACTGGGCACTCCCTACAAGGTAAGCGGTCATAATCGTTGGATCTAGGTCGTTCTACGCAAACTCCCAGACTGTTAACTATCGTGAAAGTTTCGGGCATTGGATAAGGGTCTCTACTGCCATCTGTAAGCAAGAACATAGAATAACAATTTAAATATACATTTTTCAATCTGTTCAAGAAGCCCAGTAATAAAATAGGGGTGGCAATGTCCACAAAATCACGGTCAATACAAGAGTTGTTATGTTAGTATTAGCTGTGGTTGTTAATTCGCAATCTGAGTTCCATGTTTCAATTATTTGAGCAGGTTATGTTTGTTGGAGGTTTATGTTCTTTACAGTCCGTGGCTGTAAAATTAATTCACGTACGATGTACTTTTCGTATTTCGATTGCGAGAATATATGTGTCGTAGTATTTGTGCATTGCTTTTTAAAAGTGATCAAATTTTGGAACAAATGAAACATTAAGTCTTAATTTCATTTCAAGTTCATACGAGGTTAAGTGGTAACTTTCAGTAAGTATGTAATGTAATATATTCGTTCCTCCCATTGAGTTCAGTCAGTACACTCATTAGGCACCGGCTGGGGGATCCTGATTCAGTTCGCAGCAGGGCAGGAATTTTCTCTTCACTACAACATCCAAACCCTCTGTGGGCCCTTTCTTCTTACACAGTGGGTACTGGTGGTATTCATTGTGAGGCAAAGCGGCCTTCTAGTGCCGAGGTTGAGAATGCTTGGTGTTATGCCTTCACTCTCAGTATGTGTGTCTGGTGTGGCGCTCAGGAATCAGGGACAAACTTTTTCATCTGTTGTCACCAACCTTCATAAAGTACATTATTTGTGGGATTTGAGGTTATCACGGCGGTGAGTACGAAGATGGCAGTCTTCCGGTCATATCATGTTACTATCAGAAATACATAGTGCATATACACTTTCATGTAACCTCCACAGTACACCTTCATGTCATGCCACTGATGCTTATAGCTCTCCTGTCATATGTGTTACTGACAGACATAACGTACCTTCCATTGCGAGTATCACTGTCTGATGTATGTAGTGTTTCTGCCATATTGTGTGTTGCTGGCATATTTGTCATGTCATATATCACTGTCTGACATACATAGCACACTTAGTGGTGTTGCACCTTTTAACAAGTTACAAGATGAATGCATAGTATAACAATTCTGGTGTGTTTGCCATAATTTGACCTTTGTGAATAGCAGCTGTGTTGTCAGTGTTTTATTGGGTGAGTAACAGAGTGTGGATCTGAATCTGGCATCTGGCTCTTGTCTGGCAAGATGTTTAAGTTGTCATGAATGATTGTTTACCTCTCGTAGTTGTGCATCTTGCTAGTGATTCCGTTCACAGTCATTTCCATGCACAGAAGTGCATTTAGATGTTAATGTAAAATGCCTATTATTGTTGTCTAGTTGGAATATGTTAGCAGATTTTAGTAAGACTTCCCAGTATGAAATCTAACAAAAATCAGTGGTTGAGTTGTTACATGCATACTGACATGTTGAAGCTAGTAGGCATATTTTTGCAAGTTTTAAATAATTCTTTTTATAGAAGTTTTAAGAGGAAATCATAATTTTGATTATCATCTAGTTATGAACAATTTTAAATTCTCATTATGTGTGTATTATGATTTGTATCTTTGGAAAGAAGTTGACCAGCTCATTGTTACATTATCTAATTGCCACAGTCCATAATTCTGTAGATATTTTGTTAAGTAGCTAAATGAATGCAGACTGATGGTATTTAAATTTGTTGACTATTGTTTTTCTGTATGTGGGTGGTAAAATCATTCTATTCTAAGTGGCGTTTACTGTGCCAAGTTTGTTGTCCAGACCATGCTTGTAGTACCTTGAAGTCTGAAACCTCTTTTTTAGAACTTATTTCAGACTGTGTGCTTCTGTTGCTTTGAGAAAAGTCTGTGTACCCATCCCATCCATAAAATACAGTTACTGAGTCAGAGATATGGCATCAACAATCAGCTGTTCTGTTAAATGATCAGTCAGGAGAAACGTTAATATTAGCAAGTGATTCTGAAAAATATTCAGTAGGTTTGGACTTTGACATTGAAAATAAAATCAATACTTATGCTCTTTTTCATGCTTTATGTGATGATAGTAATGAAGATGTTGACTTAGGACTTTATTTGTGAAGGCTTTCGGTAGATCAATCGGTAATACTGGAATGGGTGTATGTCTTTGAGAAACTACCTTTCCCCTCAGTATATATGTGCAAGGACACAAATCTGGAACTAATGCTCTTAAGTAATCACTGTTTATTTTAAGAATCATGTGAAACCCATAAATATGCTCTGTCGACAAAACACAAAATTAGTGATTGTTAAAACAGGTGGTACTTATAGTTGCTGCTGGAGTTTAAAGGGTTGACATATCGACTACAGTCCTCTGCTCTATCAACTGAGCTACTGCTGGATGTTAAATGTCATTTTCAAATATCCTAAGGCATTGACGAGTTGAATAACTTTATTTATTTTATTGCATGCAGGATTGAATAGACATACTGCAGGAGAAATAGTGGTCATGAAAATAAATGAGAAGAATCTTGCAGCCTTTGCTTCTTCAGCAACACCCGTGGATCGAGAAGGTTGGCTCATAAAGCGGGGCGATGTTAACAAGGGTTATCAGAAGAGATGGTTTGTTTTGAAGGGCAATCTTCTGTTCTACTTTGAGAAACGTGGAGATAAGGAGCCTGTTGGTGTGATAGTGTTGGAAGGCTGTACGATTGGTATGTATATTGACTTTGCTTTTGCCACCTTGACATCCTTTGCGGTCAGTCACTTGTTTGAAAATGAGTCTAAAGAAGTGCATATAGGCTGTAGAAGTAGAAAATAATTGATATCTTTACAGCAGTATTACATTAATACTTATATACTGCTTAAGAAACAGAGTTTGAAGATTTTGACAAAGGCATTACCATTTTCTTCAGAAGATTTGCTGTATGTTTTGTGAGATAATCGTTAAATTGCATGTGGGACTGGAAATAAACTGGTAGATTTGATTTGCCAGAATTGTGTAAAAGTATAAATTTAGCCTCTGAAAAGAAGACAAATTGAGAGTGGTCAGGTCTGGAGATGGTGCTGGCCAAGGTATTGGAATACAATGGCCAATCCAGTGATTTTCTTAAAGCTGATTCAAGTTATAACTTGATAATGGCAAAGTGTATACAAGTAGATGTAACATCTTCAGACCAATCCATTTAAGTGTCACTATCTACTGAATTATACATAGGTAAGCATTTGATTATTGTATGCACATTTTAAAACATTTGTAACTCTGGAATAGTTGGAAATATGGCCAATGTTGTATTAACATTTATTACTCACAATTACTGAGCCGGTGAGTGATGTACTTGCAGGTTAATTTTTCTTAAAAAAAAAAAGTATATCGCAACAGAAATGGTTAAGAAATATTTTATTGGGTACTTTCTCTTGAACTGTTTCTGCAATCTATGGCCATCTGCAAACGTGCATGTTTGATGTTATCAAATGGGATTATGCCAAAATGTGTCGGTGTTTACACATATAGCTACATAATACAGTGTTTTATCATTACAGAACTGGCTGAAGATGAAGAACAATTTGGGTTCAAAATTGTATTTCATGGGACAGATAACCGCAGTTATGCACTTGGGGCAGAGTCCCAAGAAAGCATGGAGCAATGGATGAAAGCTCTTGCATGTGCAAGTTATGATTATATAAAACTCATGGTAGCTGAGCTGCAGAGACAGCTTGATGAAATGGAAGGTTAGTGCAGTAATTGTGTACGAGCAGTTTATTTGAAATACTGGAACTAACAGCCCATTGGTGTATCTGACATTTTACACCTGTTATTGTAAACTAATCTTGCCAGGCACATGGTGGGTCGGGAATGAGGTTGCAGACAGAATTCTGAATAGCATGCCAATAATGTAAACAAATTCATGTGCTTCGATAAAAGCTCAGTACCATTAAAATAATACATAATACAACACATACCATAATTTTAACAGGCTTCATTCGATTTTGTCTCATTAGAATGTGAAGCAGTGACCATGACACAGAATCAGACTGCACATTCGAGATCCACTGCCTGGATTCAGAACTCTCGGGAAGTGGAAATGGGATCTTGCAATTCACCGATGCCTCCGCCACGTCAGAGGCACAACCCTTTCAACAGGGTGCAACAGACGGTTAGTTTGGATGGCCACGGACATCAGTACCGTTCCCGCAGATGCAGGCCAGATGGGACCTCAAGGCCAATGGAAAACATTCCACGAACCAAAGTGACATTTAGAGAATTACACACTGCTTATGGGAGACGTGTTCTTAGTGACTTTAATGCTTGGAGACATGCCATGAGACAAGAGGAGGAGAAAAAGCAGGGATCTGCTTGTGCTACACAGGATTTGTTGATAACTTTGTGAAAACAAGAGAGTGTGATCAGGGTAGACATGGAAAGTAATGTTAGACTGAGTGATGGAAATTTCTGTAACTTTTACAAAACATTGTGTAAGTTTTTCATAGAAAGGTGAGGAGTATCTTTTGGAAACATCTATAACATTTCTGGAATGTTTATGAACTAAAATTTAACATGTAGATTATTTTTGCCCCAAACGGAGATAATTTGTTACCTAGATGAATGAACCCTGTAAGTATGAAAAGAATACATTTAATATTTGTGGCTATTACTTATTCATTAGGCAATGTGCATTCCTCTAATGGTAAATAACAGCATTTTCTCACAAAATACTCTTTAGAGTACTTATCTGATGAAGTTTCAGTTTGTGTAACTTAAGCTTTTGGGTGTGAGCTGCATCAAATGTTGAATATTAACCACCATTTTGGCACACTTTGCAGTTGACATCATTAGATTCATATTTTGAAAAATATTGTAATATTATTATGTGTTACCTTAAGACATAAACACATTGTATAAATGTTTCTTTTGTCTCTGACAGACTAGCTTTCTTTATTTTCTTCAATCAAACTGACACCTTCCAAGGGATCTGATGTTTATTTATTGATGATGAATTTTGTTATGTAAATGAGAAAACTAATGTAAATACACGGTGAAAATGTGACCTTAACAGTATACTACACTAATGATAAAGGTATGGAGAAATGACCCACTAAATCAGAATAGGCCAGTAAATGACATGAACCCTTCTAGAATTTGGTGCTTCAGCAAAACCCAAAAATGTACAAGAAAATTACTAACAAAAGTATTTAATTGCATAGAATCCCCTACATTGTAAAAATTGATATAATATTGTTACAAATAAATAAAAAATTATATTGAAATGTTTCAGGACCATTTACCAGTGTGAATTAAGTTGTACAGTTGTGCCCTTTAAGGTCAATTTTTTTTAAATACTTCACAGTATTGTGCTCAATGTTTGTTTGAAAGTTACAAGGTATAGCTGAAAATAAGAAGGTATTTACCATTTACAAACATTAGTTGTTAGTTGTTAAAGGAGCCTGTGTAAAAAGATTTGTGAAAGAAAAGAAGGGAGTCCTTTTGAAAAGAACATTTATGAAGGTTACATGTTTGTCCTAGAGTACAATGACGTTTCTCCCCCAGATTGAAACCCATTGTGGCGATCACAAACCCTATGGAGGGTCAACTAGGGATATCTGCCATGTATTCAAAGATGGTGTAGTACATACAAATGGTTTAGAAATACATTCTGTTATTGTCTTTGCATTTAAAAATGCAACCCCTGACAGTGTCCCTGTGTATGCCATCTTCGGATTGCACCCGTGAAGCCTCAGAACAGAAATCCCCTATGTAATTTCAAAGGGAATACCCCAGTAAGGTGCTAACCTTGCTAGTTGCCATTTGTCAGCAACTGTGGCAATACAGGTGCACCATATAGCATAATCAGTATAACACCATGCAATTTTGTTTCCACCAGCCTTACAGATAACTCGTGGGATGTATAGTTGTTCAAATACAGTCCATCGAGACTGATAACAGAGTAAGAAAGTTAAGCACAAAGGTACAGGTGCATATAATCATGTGTTTTCATTTCTGTAACATGGGGAAACAGGCAGTGTTAATTGTTAGAAAAAAGGCATGTTCTTACAAAGAACAGTATCCTGGTGGAAGCCAGGAAAATGTTGCCAAATATTCTCACTTATGGGGTAAGTCTTCTTTCAGAGTGTTACCATTTTTTATATATATTTCTTCCTCTTCCCCTTTATGGGTTCTTTACACCAAGTTGCTATCTGCTTCAACTTTTTACATCTTTCTTAGAGAGGCCTCAGTCTCAATTTCAGTACATACTTCATTTAATTCATCATACTCTGCTCCTTTAGCATTCCACTGGGCTCTTCTTCTTTGCACATCACCTTCAAGACCCATTTCAGTTACTCGTTATTTACTGAGTGTGCCTTTGTCACATGATTGTGCTCCATATGTTATTAGACTCTGTTATAGAACAAATATTATTACTGATCCCATTTGACCTAATTTCACAATATAGTAGCTATTAATCAGAACAGATCAAGGTTTTTTAAATATTTTAATAAACTTTTCATTAGTTGCATTGTGTAGAGCATTATTTACTTCCATTCATTTTGTGTATTATGGTTCTGGTTTCATAATGTTTAATAGTAACTGCATAGCTTATTTATGAAAACAAGAATTAATTTTTTTGACGTAAATACATCTATATGGAAGGGTCATTCGGCAAAAAAGTGAAAGGAAAACTTGTAACGAAAATGTGTAAGATCCGTATCAACAAATCGACAACAATGGTTACCTAGGGAACGTCGTGTTTATTCGTCATTGTTGTTACCTAGGAAAACGTGTAAGATCCATATCAACAATGTGTAAATATGGACTGACAACGATGGTCAGCTTGCGTGCATTGTTGTTACGTAGGAAACGTCATCTGTCTACTCGGCATTGTTATGTTACATTACTGCGTTCAACAATCCGCTTTCGTTATTGCGGAAAGAGCTGAGCCGTGAATCGCTTGTAGAAGAAGTGCGTCGTAGACGAGATAATTTTGACATTACATTGCATTTCCTTACATTACATTCAGCTACCTTCCTTTCATTGTATTTATTGCTTAAATATAATTTAAATACAGAGACGTATTTACGTCAGATTCTCTGGAACCGTGGTTCCACTGTCAATTTTAGAGCAGTGCTGATACTGCCATGATAATCATTATGGGGAAAGCCATCGGTCCAAGCGTTTGCTGTGCATGAGCAACTTGGAGTCGTAGACTTCTACTTTGCATGTGAACGAACTCTACATATACATGTTATGCTTTGGCAAAATGGCTGATAATTGACTATGTGTGGACTCCTATTTGTTTTCCGATCACACTCAGCACAGTATTTAGTTGGGAACATTCCTTGTATTAGTCTGTGCATTTGGACTCCATAGATCGTATTATCTGTGCTCGAGAGGCAGTTGCATTGCGTTTGCGGATAGTGTGATATTAGACGCCATTTGTAGTGGAGTTAGGTGTGTTATTCGGATTATTGTGTAACATTTGCGTGGATTTTCATTTTGTTGTGATTTTACCTCAAGTGAAACATGGGTAGAAAGAAGAAGAAGCAATCGAAACCATGGTGTTGGTATCCTTTAATAAGCGAAAAGAAAGCGAAGGATGCCACTTTCATCTGAAAGGAAGGGCAGAAATGTTCCCGTGTATTTTGTAAAGCTTCTGTTACTTTATTGATTATACTTACGCAAGGTTGATTAGGTTACTTCTGTTTTGTGAATCTTGATCATTGTGTTGGCATTAACAGCAGACTGATAAAACTCGTTAAAAATATGTTTATTTAATACCTAATATTTTTTTAGTCGGATATGCGGAAACCCCTCAACATAAACGTACCAGAAACAACTTCTTACTGTAAAAGGCAACTCAAGTGAATGGTTAGGTATATTGTGTAAACAAAAAAAAAAATTGTATCTAAATTGTAGCAGGGATACAAGCAACGCTGAACTGAAAAGGCACTACAGAAATGTAAGATTCCTACCAACGCAAGGTTTACTGCCCGTTTGAAATATTGGGGCATAACAATATCAATATTCGGCTCATACCAGTTGTATCTCATTCCAGAGAAAGTCGCCAACTCTACAAATAGGATGCATGACATCATATAGTTCAGAGGTTCAAAATTTGCAGCTTGCAAATATGTTTTATGTGGCACATTCATTTTTGTAATATTATACCATCCTGCAGGCATAAACGGTTATATAATTTTAAGTGAGTAATTTATAAGAATGATAAGCCAAATTTGCTAACGAAAGTAAGTACTATGTGAATCTGTTTGCCTGAGACCGAAATTGCAATCTTAGATTAGACCTCTGTGGTATCATACCAGACATATTTATGGGGTCATAGGATTGAATCTTTTTGAAGTCTATTTATTTTTTATTTTTTAATGCAGCTGCCATGTTGTTATTTTATGTTATTGAAAGAATTACAGTACATTTATAATGTATTCAAAGAATTATGACACGAAAGTTCTGTGTTGTCCAAAAATCTGCAACAATTCAACATTGCTTGGCCCTACTGCAAGTGGCATTAGTCTTAGTCCCACCTCACAAACTTATTCATCTGCCATATTGGTATCACTGATTATGGGAAATTGGAAAGTGTGGTTTGAAAGGAGTACCCAGTGGCATAATACCAGTACCATATTTAATCTAAATCTATGCAGTGGTTCTGTAATTGAATCATGCACCCTGACAAACAGACCTGACCAGCTCTGCATGCAAAGAATGCATAATATAAAGAAGTCCTTTGCCTTTATTGGTACTGCATGTCTTCAAATGTAAGAGATGGCAGTGTTGACTGTGGACATGTAACTTTAATGTGTTAACCCCTTTTAATATTGTCTTGATTAGGCATCTTGGTGGTGGTTCAGTGTTGCAGTGAGAGGATTAAAAGATCATCCTTCCTTCTATTTGCAAAGTTTTGAGATGTCCATGAGGTGATGAGACAGTTAGGTTTTCTTTCCTTCTTTCTGTCTGTAAAATTTTGGGATTTGGGCACTTCACCATATAGTCTGTAAATAATTCAGTGACAAAGGATTACTTCATTTGACAGCTGTTGTTGCTGAATATTTACAAATTTGTAACAACTGTGTGAAAAGTCATTGAACTTCATGTTTATGTACTGTGTTAAAATTTGTGTGCAACAGTGTTGTTTGCAATGTGATCCACAAATCTGGACAACTGGTAAACTGATTGTGGTTGCAATATGCCTTGGCAGATGAAATTTTAAAGCTGAAGGCTTTTGCAAGTCACTTGTACAATAGTATATTAATGTTTTGTCACCTGCAACCAGGAAGTAGAGTCTTTGCAAAGAAAACTGGCCCTGGTGTATACTATATATCCCACTGTGATGCACATTCCCATATACAGGGTTATTCATAATTCCCTGACACATTACAAAAAATCGCCAGACTTAAATGGTGCAAAGGATGGTAACATGCGACATGCCAATAGAAAGAGAAACTCTCAAAGTTTCGCTGAAAAACTGATATTCAGCGATGAAGCTACTTTTCATGTTTATGGGAAGGTGAACAGACACAATATGCAGGTATAGGGAAGGGAAAAAACACATGCCACAATTGTGCACATTGGGATTCACTGAAACTGAATGTTTTCTGTGCCATATTCAAAGAGAAGGTGTACTGGCCATTCTTCTTCGCTGAGGCAACCATCACTGGCATGTCTTATCTTGAGATGATGCCTCAGCTTCATGATCACAGCGATGACTTTATTTATCAGCAAGATGGGGCTCAACCACACTACCACCACCTCAATCAGCATTTGCCACAGCATTGGATCGGACGCATGGCTGCCAATGACCATGCACTGCTTTGTTGGCCACATCGATCACCTGACCTGATGCCATGTGATTTTTTTCTTTTGGTGATATGTTAAGGACCAGGTCTTTGTACCACCTCTGTCAGTGGATCTGGCTGAGCTGCAAAGACGAATCATCGTTGCGATCTCACAAATCGATCGTGACGTGCTGCAGTGGGTATGGGCGGAAATGCATTATCGGCTTGACGTCTGCCGCGTCACAAGGGGCAGACACACAGAGCATTTATGAAGTATGTAAAATAAATTTGGAGATTTTCTATTTCTGTCAGCATGTCCTATGTTACCATCCATTGCACCATTCAAGTCTGGCGATTTTTTGTAATATGTCGGAATTATCAATAACCGTGTGTAGTGGACTCTGAGCCAGACAAAACTGAAATAACACTTGGGAATGGGCCCAGTGGTAACAGTTTTATGTTATAAGGATGGTGTCAATTGAAGACTTTCAGTTTGGTTAGAGGTTGAAAATGAATGCTGATAAAGGTTGATTAGGCATTAAATGTTCATTATTTTCCTTAATATATGCAAGGTATTGTAATCGTGAATTTGATGATGAAAAGATTCTAATTCAACATCAAAAAGCCAAACACTTTAAATGTCATATATGCCACAAGAAATTGTATACTGGTCCTGGTTTATCAATACATTGTATGCAGGTAAGTGTTTTGAAGTTGTTTGTTTGTGTTCAGGATGGCACTAGTGTCAATACAATTCTCATCAGCAAAGTTAAGAACAGAAAAGATGGCATGTTACAGGCCATTCCATATTCGGTTTTAAGTGATGTGCTACAGCCTGTTCTAGCTTGGGTGTAACAGTCGAAAGCTTAAGTAACAAAATCTAACAGCAAAACATTGCTGTGGTAAGTTTGAAATAAATTTATTTAATGAACAAATTGTTATTAATCACTATTGGATTTGTAATCATGTCTTCATAGCTCTTGACCAGAGACAATTGAAATTTTGGTAGTGGGTGCATATGAGTTTCATATTTGGAACTCAGAACATTATTTTCTTTTATCCCAATTTACAGGTACACAAGGAAACAATTGACAAAGTTCCCAATTCGCTACCAAATCGCTCAAACATAGAGATTGAGATCTATGGAATGGAGGGTATTCCACCAGAAGATATCAAGGAACATGAGCGCCAGAAGCAAGGAAAGCAAATACAAGGTGGTAAAAGAAATAATGTAGTTCGTATGTTGAGATTCAGATACTGTGGAGTCAGACCTATCCATGCTTAATATAAGTTGGGGCAGAAAAGATGGGCAATTTTTAATTGGGACTGGCAGTGCTGGATCAGATGCTTTCTACATCTTTTGAGAGAGTGGATGAGGGGCTTTCTTGACCCGTCCAGGCCCACTACACTGCCCTTTCAAGGGTACCGCTCGGCACTGGCCAGCCCTTATTTCCATTCTTCTTCTTCCTCCTCCTCATGTCTACTCATCTGCCTTGTGTCCAGTGATCCATCTGCCAGAGAGGGGGCCCTGTAAGGGCTACTTTGGACCTCTCCCACTTTCATGTCTTTATGGGTTTTAATGCCATGTGGACTTGTGGGTAGATACCATTGTTTTGGACAAACATGCTGTCTGATGGAGACAATTTTGCTTTTTGAAACACTGGTATGTACTTTCCAATCCACGCATTGTTACAACACAGAAGACCAACATTACATATTCACTGCTGTGAGAACCTCAGATCTCATATTTGCTGAAATAGGTTCGTGCCTTACGTTGCATGAAGTCCGATGCCCCTGAGGTGGGTAAAATCAGAACAGATTTGAAGATGCTGCATTGTGTTTACTTTTGATGTGTGTTTGTAGGTGGCAGGCCAGGCTCACCCAGCAGTGGTGAAGATGAACCAGCTCCTAAAAAGGCCAAGCCAGAAGGGTTGCTTGGTAATGGCCCTGGACCTGGGGGCATGATGCAAGGAATGATGCCTCCACAGGGCCCCATGCATCATCATTCTATGGCACCCATGGGGCAGTTTGGTCCTTCCATGGGTCATCATATGATGGGCCCTATGGGACCACCCATTGGACCACCTTTTATGGGACCTGGGTAAGTCATGGTTCTACTTTTTATGCGTGATTGTCTTTCCATGTGCTTGTTTCATTCTGGATTCTGGCAAAATTTTATATCGAGGTCTGCAACAGATGGGAAAATGTGATTGATATTGGTTGAGTATGCTAATTTACATGTAGAGAGCATTGCCGTGATGTGAAATCCAGCTGTCCAATCAGTTTGATCATGAAGGTTGGGTTTGTACATTGTTCTTGGAGAAAGGTTTTTGTTTCTTCTCGTCTTTGTTTCACTATTTGCAGTTACTTTTATCGCGATTATTTCCGTATTTTGAGCATTATTGACTTTTGACCATTCCTTACAGTTTCATGAAAATCTTTTATCTTACTGCATCCATCACCTTTTGCACATTGGTTTAGATTTTGAAGTTGTCAGACGACCGCTCTTGTATAATCTGCGGTGATTTCCAATCACATAGCCCACACAAAAAAACCAATATACTTTGCACTTATGGTTCCCACTCCATTAACTTGAAATGTATTCGAAACGTTAGTGACATTTTATTATGATTTCGGTAACTATTTTATGCTGATTATCTGCTCTAATTCTAATAATGTATCCCCTACAGTTTTTGGGAAACAAAAGAGCACTCCCTGTAAAACCTTTGCTGCAGCCATAAAACAAAATTAATTTTGATTACTGTGTGGCAGAGAACTGCTGAATCAAGTAGCCATGTGATCCAACACATGTACTGTTGGTTGCTTCACAGAAATGTCAGTCTGCGTATTTAATTATGAGACCTCGTGTTACATTCTTCTGTCCGTGATGGAACATGTAGCAATGACAATAAAAATGATCATCGTAGTTTTAATTTTGGTGCAACCTTGTTTCAGAATGCCTATGATGGGGCCAATGGGGAACATGGGTGGCCCTCCACAAATGAACATGGGCATGAATCCCGGCAGCAACCAACCCCAGCAGAATAAACCATTGTTCCCTAGTGCAGCAACGGTTTGTACACACTCCTTTCATATAATCTTCAATATAATCAAGTGTATGCAAATGAGAAAATCGTTGTTATTGTCATCATAATAGTATGACAAGGGAAACCAAGTGTGCAAAGAAGCATGGACATTTTTGTTTGTCACTTGTTGAGCTCTCAGGTCTCTCAAGTACGTGCGACCCCGTGTTGTATACCGTAAGAGCACTGTCTCCAGACTTTCCTTCTCCCAGTCAACATTCACGTGGTTACCTTCAGGCAGACAAAATACTGTAATGTTTGTTTTTGTTTCAGGCTGCCACAACAACGGCCTCTGCTCCAGTGGGGGCAGATTTCAAACCGATCACTTCGACTGTCAGTACGCCGATTGGCCCTGTGAAACCTACGTTTCCTGCATATAGGTATGTGTTTCATAATTTAGTGCAGTGGTTTTTGCTGTCAGAGTGAGAATGCAGTCTTGAATATGTTGGGGAGAATCTCAGTGCAGATTTTACGTTCTTACAGAAGTGAGGATGTCAGTTGCAGTCTCATGAGTCGTGACACCATGTATGTTGTAGGTGGTTACCATTATTTCAGAGGAACATATTAGTTCAGCCCTGAAGGTGGAGGTGATACACGTCTGTAGAACATTGGTGTAATGTAATGGGCGATTAAATTCTCGTGTTCACTGTAATCCGATTCACTTAATGTTACATGAACAACGTGGATGTCCCAGTGTAGAGTCTATATTGTTGCCTGAAATTCTTTAAAATATAAAAACCTGCTTGTAGAGGATTTGCTAAATGTAATTTGTCTTGTCCACTCACAAATTGTATCCCGTTTATGCCTTGCGCTGTGTTTTCAGTACCACAAGCTCATCGAGCAGCCAGAGTTCAACACCAGTTACTTCCAGCAGTGATACCTCCCAGAAGGTGGCACTTATAAATACAACAGGTGCATCCAGTAAGATTATTCATCCTCAGGAGGATATCTCACTGGTAAGAGGGATAGGAATTGTTGTACTTTTCCAGGAAATGAAGGTATGTTCTGTTTTTCTTTCCTTTAGCAAGCGCGGAGAGGTAACAAATTCTTTGCAGTTCTACATATCTGTTTGGCCTTGATGTCGCTGGTTCTGTAGCAGGTTAGTTTATATCATTTAATGTGTAATCTCAGTGGCGCAAATCTTGCGTAGGGTACACACCTCTGAAATCGGTTCAATTGCTACAGTTCAGCGGTTTCTCTAAACACCTTGTGGTTGATGTAGCTTAGCCTTTCACCATTCTGTGTGAAGTTTATGTGTGTTGAAGCATGTTGCCTTTATTATTGCAGTAGAACATACTAAATTATAAAAATCGCCGACTGTCAAAGTATCTAACTGTATGTTCTTCCACAAGTGAAAGAAACACAGATGAGTTCTGTTATTTTGCAGATAGAGGTGGAAGTTATTTTCGTCTTTATAAGATGTTATTCATGTTGAAGAATGTTTCAAATAAAGGCTGTAGTTACTAATTAAATTGACCATGAACAGGCAAACAGTCAAGGGGCAGTGTCGCAGTACACAACACAGGGACTCAGAAATCTTGACAGGAATAAGTTTGGTGTTAGAACAGTTGGTCATACTGTGAATCTTGTTAGTGTACAAAATAGAAACTTTGCCCTTGTGGATGATATTAATATTGGTCTCTCATTTTAAGGGAAGAACGTTGATTGAGGGTGTTCGTTAACATTTTGGGCTCAAGAAAAGAGAATAACAGGAGGGTGGGGAAAATTAGTAGCTTCATAATTTGTACTTTTTACTAAGTGTTAATAGCAGGCTTCTGCAATAATTGCTTTTTCAGTACAAGATAAGAATTTTAAGAAATTGTGAGAAGCAAGACAAGAATGAGGAGTTTCTCTACTAGACCAATTCTTTCACTGTAATTGTATTTTATAACACTAGCCATTTGTTCACTGTGCACGAAAGTATATTACATTTTTCAGCGATGAATTTTCATTAATCATTATGCTTAAACAAATTCATTTTGGGGGTCATGTCCAATTGAACTACTTTTTGAGTGTGAGAATTGTCCTTCCCCATATTGAGGTAAAAAGTAGTAATTGCCAATAAGTAAACATTATTAATATTTGTTAGCTGTGTGGTGCATCATTGTAGCACGTTGCAATACCGTTGGGCCACGGAGTCTTGCCAGCAGCCCTGTATTAGTATGTGGGTTTAAATCCCCGATTTCCGTATGATAAAGATTACTGCGTGACCTCACCATGTAGTCTGCGGAAAACAAATCACTTCGGCGAAATTAAGTGTGGGTGAGACATGTTTTAGAATGGATGAGGAAGAACCCTGCTCCATGGAATTACTTTTTTGTTGTACTGAGTATACATTTTGGATCCTTATTGCGTTAATAATACTTCTCTATTTAGTTAAATGTGTAACATGTGTTCATGCAGGAGCAAGTGCGTGCCAGGATATCCAAGTACGAGCGCCAGGCTCCAGTGAAGACCGTTGATTCCTCCACCTCAACTCCCCAACCTCAAGTAGAAGTATGTATTAAGAAATGTTCAAAATGTTCTCTTCTCACTGTAGAAGTTTACTGTAACACAGAAAATTTGAAGTGATCAAGTGTTTCATCCAGGACGAAAGTGTTCACAGGCAGGCTTTTTGAAAGCAAATCACAAAATTTCAGTGACAAAAGAAAGGGTTTCTTCATAAGTAAATGGGACAGTTGAAGACATTAGAAATTATGAAAGAAATTGTAGTCCAGGTCTTCAGTGCAAGCTGACCAACAATTCCATTTTAATGTTTTACAAGTATATTGCTCGCTTTCATGATTTGTGTACAGGAAATTGGCTCAAAGTACTGTTTGAGTTCTCCATCCTTGTGCTGATATCTTGCACTTGCTAGTCCATGCCATCAGCTCACTCTTAAAGAATGTTTACAAGTAGGAATTGTACCAAGCAACGAAATGTTTACTGAACAGAAACCAGCATTGTTAGTGAATCAAGTTTTGGGTGCTTTGAGATTTGGTATCTCATTACTGGTTAGCATTTGTCATGAACCACGGAGCAAATGTAATGAAGATAGACTGAAGTTAAGAAGTGTGGTTTAGGTTGCATATTTGAGATGTAATTAATGGAAGGAGGGAATTAATTTCCAAATGTGATTGAGAACTTTATACAGTATAAAGTCTTATGGTCTCGGCTGGTGAAGAGACGACATACGAATAATTGAAAAACACAGATAATCCAAAATATTTTGTGTTGTGCATTCACAAGATGTCACAAACGAGTTTGCGTGTTTTTATGCAACTGGCAACTATTTTGAGAAAGGTGTAATTTTTGGTGGGTGGACTTCTCATGGCATTATGAATTTTCCTAGCAGCTGCAATGTCACTGTATTTTAATCCTTTATGACCCGTGTAGTCTAGTTATGTCAGTACCCTGTAGTGCCATGCTATGATTGATGTACTCGCTGCTTTGTCTTTCTCATTTTCATCGTCCCCACCCTCTTCTTGCTTTTGTTTTGCTGCAGCATTAGCAGTGTCCTTGTATGTACATGTTTGGAAGAATTTAAGTGCCAGCATATAAGGATTGCTGCTATAAAGTCCATTTCCTGTGAGTTGATTTATTTAATTAAACATTTTCTTGTAAACTATTTATCTAACATGCTTCATATTTTTCACTAATATTCATTCTTACAGATTCTAGAGGCTGAAACAAAATAACTTGATTTGAATAAATAAATTAAGCATGTGTGATTTTAAATATCTGAAGAGAAGTATCTCCTTTGGTTTCTTTAAATATTTGCCCTTTGTCTATAACTTTGGCTTTCTTTTTGCAATAGCCAATTAATTCTAGGTAAGCAGCAAAAGTTCTGTATTTTTATTGCAGTTAGCGCAGCATAAAACTGTGAACAGTGGCAAAGACAAGTGAAATGAAGTCAGATTTGAACAGTAAATCAGTAAAATCGAAGTAGATGATCATAGTGCTGACTGCTTTTTTGTTATTAACAAAACGTGGGCTACTTCTTTGAATATTATAATTTATGTATTTTAGTATTCGCTTCATATTACCATTGACAGAGTTCCTCATTGAGATTATTAAACATGATTTTTCCAAATCTGATAAATTCTCATATGTTGATGTAGCACTGAAAATTGTATCCATTATTTCAGTGCAATGCATTTCACTTGACCTCTCCCTGAATCACTGAAAATGTGATTGTTGTTATGATTTGATAGGTCATGTTGAGATAGTGGCCATTAGATTCTCATTCGCATGTAAATGATGTGACTTTCATGATGTAGTGATTGTAATACAAAAGAATTTCATATTGCTTAATGACAAGTGTTGTTTATCTTCTTACTACAATAGTACAGAAACATCAACTTTGTTGCAGGAAGAACGACGCGCAGTGATGCCCCGCTATCAGCCCCGACCCGCTATGGCCGTGGCCGCAGTACCAGTTTCTGTGGCCGCCATCGCTCCACCTGTGAGCAGTGTGACGATCATGTCTCCAATGGCTGGCCCTCCTATCATGAGACATGCCATGCATTTGGGGCCCCCTGCTGCCATGCTAGGAGGTAACATGAACATGATGCGACCGCCCCCAATGGGGCTTCCTCCAGGTAAGTCCACCAGCGACATGGTGTGCCATGTCATGCTCCAGGGAGTGACAGGGACAGGTTGGTTCTTGGGTAATCATATATTACACAAAACATGGGAAGTTGTGTGCATGACAGAAGTACCAATTAGGCACGCATGTTTTCAGGATGTACATGAAATACATCGTGTGGATTATAGTGGATCTCCTGTAAACATATGGCAGATCAGAAGAAATGGATTGACTGGAGCTAAGACAGTTGGTGATTGGTGCAGACGGACAGCATGCTTTAAATTTTATGCATTTTTGTTTTCTTCGGACTTACTTTTCATCAGTTTAATTCCTGTCATCACAAGAAGGCAATGTACTGTATAAAATGTAATGTCCACATTATTTGGTTTGTGAGCAGATTCCATTCAGGTTTAGTCAAATGAATGGTCTGTGTTTTGCAAGAAAATCTGTGTCCACATGAAGTTTGTAAAGTCCAGTTTTTTTCCTGAAATCTGCACGTCTCTTAACGCACATACAGTAAGTTTCACAGTATGAGATTGTTGAGAATGTTCAAGATGATGGTAAGGCACTATTCTGAAAACAATATTTGTATATCAGTTTAGATAATGTAAAAGTTGTTTTATGTGTTTTGTTGCAAGTGGTAATCATCTCAGAGAAAGCCACCACCATGTTTGTGGTTCCTTAAGATTGAAGGAATCAGATCTACCTCAATCTTAGGGTTCCTTGAAGATGGAGGTGGTAAGTTCCTGTGACTCTTTGGAAACCACCTTCAAGACTACATAGCAGTTCATATTTTTGCCACTGTAAAGGCGTCATAGTTCACAAAACAATGTTCCCCATTGTCCCCTTTGTTCGATAGTTTTAATTTGCCTATTCTGTATTGTGTTGTAATACATTTTCTGTGCACTTGGTTTACATTCAGTTTCCATAACCATTCTTCATTACTTGTTCATACAGTGCGACGACGGTAGAATGAGTACAGTCGATAATGAAATGTTTAAAGGAATCATCAGTACTGTACATTTCTTAATGTTACTACACACGTGTAAAACAGAATGAGAGCTTCTTTCCAACACCTTCATCATCACAAATGATTTTTAATTGGCAGACGCTTTTAATCCATAACTTCTTACACTGACCACTTTTGGTTCTTCTTCTGAAGAAGTTAATAGCTGTTGGTCTCTGGTCCTTTGGGCTCTAATCAGAATCTGCGAGTATATGACCGCTCCAGATTGTAGCTAGTGAAGAAGACCCATTGTTCCATTTGTGGTGTTTAGAACAGCCTACAAAGTTGCTTACATATGTACATGGTTCAGCTGTAAACTTGTGTGGTATGTCTATCGCACAGTTTTTATGCAAATCAATGTGTTTGTTTTCACACTTGTATGCATGTGCGGTGAATCATTTTTAGAGTGTGATTGGTACTTGTGGGAACACAGCACGTAGTGGTCAGAACTTTTACTTGTAAACAACAGATCGTAATATGTTTTTGTTTGTGAGTACAGGAAGTAATGTGAATTTGAAAATAATCTTATACTTGGATCAGATACTGCTACAAGCATTGAAAATGGTGAATTATTCTTTATTATTTCCACTTTAACAAAGTACCACCTAAACAAAGAATAATTATTTTTTAAGCCTTGGTAACATTGTCACGTATGTAATAAAAGTTAGAAGACAGAATTGGAATTGATGTATTTCAGTTATTTTTTGAGATCATGAGTACCTTCTAAAAGGATCTTTTAATCCTTGTAATGTTCTGGTTCCACTGTAGTTTGTTTCCACAGTCATAGACTTTAGTGATTAATGTTGAAAGCTTAACTCAAAATATGTGAACAATATGTTGATAGTTAATTTGTACTTAATTTCTACACTTCTGAAGTTAATACAGTGTTAGATACCTTGGATCAGTGTCATGGGAGGAGGCAGAAGTAACCATGTAAAGACTTATGTTGTTACAACACCATGAGTCACGGTTTGCTTTGTCCACTTCCATGATGTTGATCGGACACCAGCATATATGTTCGCCATTGTATCGATAATGCTCTCAGCAGCAGTATGAAGCCAACAGCTCTCTGCCTGCTTCAAGGTCTGGGGAAATGTGCGAGATTTGCTTCAAACTTGGGTTAGGAGTGTGTCAGTGTTAAATAGACTGCATATTGATCACAATAAGAGGACTCTCAGAAAAATTTACAATATATATATATATATATATATGTTTTGAGAAATGAGAATTATCTTATATTCAGGTAAATACAGTGTTGTTTCTCTAATCAAATCCTTTGTTGTTCTTTATTTGTACCTGGTTGGGAGTATTTTGGCTGTGTGTTTGATTGTAACCTGTTACATTTTCAGGTTTTTTTTTTAAAAAAATTTCCTTCACATTAATGATACAGGATCACACGTTTGTATGTGTGATGTATATACTTTAGGAATAAGAGTGATTATCACTACTATATTATATTTATTAGTCTCCTATGTGGCCATGTGTCTTGAATTATATTTTCTGGTTGTAGTGTATTATCTTTCGTTGTTTTCACATTCTTTGCCCTTGTGGTACAGATAAGGTACAAATTTCTCTGAGTCAGAAGAGAAGGTATACAGTGCTGCAAAGTCAAATATTCATGCAGTATCTATGTACTTTGTGTAACACGGTTTCTTAGATTCAAATTTGTTTGTAATTTTGAAACGTCAGAAATCAGATCAGTGGTTTGCAGAGTTTTCCTGCTCATGCACCTTACTTTTTTCATGAAATTGTGTAAGATTACAGTTACTATTTACATTTTCTCTTTAGTGCCATAAATTTTGGGACCATATTTCTGCTGTAAGATCATTGCTATAAAGAGTACCTATTAGCATGAGGGCACCTGCCCTCCAGCATATGGATCAATCAGTTGATTTTGAAACTAGGAAATGATTAAACTAGATTGTTTTTGTATTTGGCACAACGAAATCCTCCTGTACTAGTTCCTGCCAGTAACTTATGTCTCTAAGTTGTGTGTGTGGTGTGGACTGAAAGTAGCATCTATTTATCAGAAGTCGTGTTGCTGTGCAGTTTTGATGGGGATGAAATTACAAATCCTGTTTTATTGCTGTTATACATCAGACTATAAAACAGTTGGTGGGGGTGTTTCAGACAGAGAACGAGCATAATTTTGTGCAATAAAATGTGGTTTTAACTTCAATAATGGAAATCTCATTTTATGAAATAATTCAACTGTATGAGCTCTGTTCTTACATTTTGTATAAATGTACAAATAGTTATCTGAATTATCAGTGTAACAGTCAGACTGTATTCACTTCGTCGTTTACTTTTTTAACGTTCTGCCTCGAAATTGAAGATCTTTGCATTTTATACCAGAATTGTTTAAAGAATAACACGTAGTTGGAGCAAGTGCACGTTACCTGCCAAGTTTATTATTTGTACTGTAATATGAAATGATTTAATTCTGTCTTGTTCCTTATTCTAATTTCCTTATAGTTTATTCACTATTGTAATCATATTATATGGATAGGCAAGCTCTGACCAGTAAGCCACATCTGTCTTTTGAGACAAAAGTACTTTTAAGCAAGTACTAAAATAATAGTCCCATTAAATTAAGAGATTTCATAATATTATCAATGTTGACACACTTGAGTCGATCTACTTTGCCTACTTCCACTCTACATTGAAGCGTGGAATAATTTTTGATGTAATTCATTGAACAGTAAAAGGATATTTACTTTTAAAAATCAGTGCCAAACCAAGAAATTCATGTAGAAGCCTTCTTAAGAAACTTGGAATTTTACCTTCTCATTGTGAATATATGTTTTCATTAATAAACTTCATCAGACATGACCTAGAAGGTTTCCCGACAGATTCACTTGTATAGTGCTGACCCAAAGAATAAGAAAAGTTAAAATGTATATTTTGGTAAATGAAACTGCGCAAAAAATCTGTTTGACTCTCTGTATGTAGTTCTCCTGTGGTAATTTTTGGTTTATAAGGCAACTGTTCAGCCTTGTAATTTATCCAGAGTTGTTATTAAAACAATGTTTTTGAGACATGGAGGAGGTGGCCATATACTGTTTTTATGACTTAGGAATTGCTGCATATAAAATTTAACAGCATAATAAGCATTACAGGAAGTAATGAAACAAGCCTTGATATGTAACACTAGTATAATGCAGCAAAATTGAGTGAAGTTGGTGAATTACAGGAACCTGTGTGAAGTTTAGTTAGAGTCTTTGGGAGATGAATTACTTAAGCGAATTTATTTTCATAGTGTTACAAATCATAAAAGTTTAACAAATGTTGAAGAAAGGTATTGAGTTTAGTTTGAACAAAACACACGGATGCATTTAAAAATTGGTATTGGAAGATTTGATCCAAAAGTTGGAGATGTGATGTGGTCGAGACGAGGATGTGATAGGTTGCTGTTTTTCAGCAAAATGAGCCAG